CCCACGCTCACACACACAGACAATAATCTGAGAACTTAAAAACTCAGATTATTTACTTCACATCTCAAGTGAGCAGTTCACCAATGTACTCACCTCCAGGAATACTCGGAGGCGAACTGGGGTGTGGGAATGAGCAGCGACATGGCGGGATCTCCGTAGTTTGGACCGTCGTTCTGCCAAGTCTTGGCGAACATTCCAACCATGATGGGTTTGTCGGCAATAACTGTCATATAATCTCCAGTGCTGATGTCCAACTGTGATACACATGATCTTATAATGAATGTGCTGATTAAATGGCAGTTTATTGAATTTACTTTTGTAAATTGGTCCAGACAATCTGATCCTACACGAGTGAGAAATAAAATATATAAATTACGAATTTTAAAAAATAATTATGGTCAAGTTTCAATAAATGCTGCTTCTGACTTGCAATGACTTCCAACTAAAGAAGTTCAAAGTCCTAATTTGATTTAATAATTTAATTACTTTAGGATGAAATAAGTCGAACGGAAACAATATTTTCTAAATTCAAACAGTAAACATGAATGTTTTTAAAGTATCAGGAACGAACTGAACCAAATCTTGGGTAAAACTTTATTTTAACTTGGGAGATAGTGAACAGAGAAACTAAAAGCGTATAATAATACATAGTATTGAAATAGCTTTCCACTCTTTAATTCATTTTGTGCTCTATCCTCCACCCCCAAACGCATACTGCAGGCTATCTCGCTTATTAGTGTTCCAAATTTTACCAAATTTCACACATATAACAAAAATAGTAAGGAGTCTAAGAATCCGCAATCAAAGTTGAGAAAAAAGTTTCATTTCCATGGATACGGCGGCTATATTGGATTTTGTTGACATATCTTACGTAATGAATACCGTACTTATTATGAATGAAAATTGATTTTTTTTGGCATGCATGTCAGCAAACATTAGATCAAAATATTTGTGTGTTGATTTTTTTCGTAAACGAATTAGAAATTATTTCATGATTTTTTTCCCCTGATGTAGTATTGAAGTTTGCAAAAAATCGGTGAAAATCCACACTCCAGACACCACCAACAAAAATCTATTACATATACATATCAACAATTCAACAAACAGATTTTTAGCATTACATCTTCTGTTCATTCTGTGAACATTTCATGAAGGTTGGAAGAAAAACAATGGAGTTATTTAAAAAAGTATAGAGAAAAATCGCGTTCTGAGAAAACGGGCGATATAGAAAAATAAAATATTGATTTTATGAGGAAATGGTGGTGACAAACATGCCTGGAAGGGGGTCAAATAAGGCTTTGGGGGATTATTATGCGATCAAATAGTTGTAGAAGGAGCCGAGGAAGCTAGAAATGCCTCAAATTCCATAATTTTGAGCCGAATCGGGAAATTGGGGGTCTAGCCCCCCCTCCCCCACTATCCTAATGGGAATGATGAAATACCTGAATGAGGTATCAGATTTACATGTTATAATAATATAGAAGCTGCTCCGTAAGTGCTAATATGCAACAGCGTGTACCTCTCTGAAGTCCCCGGCCCTGGACAGGGTGAACGTATGCCGGCCGTTTCCAAAGTTGACCGCTGTGTTGTCCTCCGCACACACAACCCGGAACAAGTCTCCGATTGAGCGATCTGGTGTACTGACCGTCACGAACTCCTTGCCCCAGGTGTCCACAGACGGAAGCATCTCTGAAAGGAGGGAATAATAGGTGGGCACTAAAAGAAACTTCCCTTAGATTGTATAACAAGAGGTTAAAAGTACAAAGGTAGTAGAGATTTGTTGTTGCCCGTCGGAGCGGAAATATGGGTGGTTATCTATGATTATTAATGTCTGTGTCAAATCTCGCACTTGAAAATACAAAGAATTCAGAAAAATGATTTAACTTTGTGTTATTCCTTTTACTTTCGAGAGAACTCAGCTTGGTTTAGAAGATGCAATGTAACTAATTTCTCAACTTAAAAAAAAAGCTCGTTCTTCGTCTTATATTAAGCAACAGGATGCAGACTGCTTTAACTCTGCTGGTTTGAACATATTATCCAGGTTCGGTAATCAAACTCTCGTCATTTCGGATGTGACGGTGAAGAACATGACCGTTGCAGCACAGACTTCGGGAATAAAACCATCAATGGTTCGGTGGCTGATTCTAACCGTGTGTCTGTCAAATTAGGCCAAACACTCTTAAATTATGCTATTTACAACAGTAATTACAATTTTGTTGATACTAGAATTATACGTAAAAAGAAGAACCTTACACAAAATGTGCATCGATGCCTGTAGTTCACCGTCATAAAGTGCTAGATCTTAAACAGATATCCGTCATCATGGTTCTCCATTCATTATTCCTCTTTGAGGCTCTTAGCAATTCCGCATTGTTCCGGTGTTTCCCCGTCTCCCACTTTTTCAGGTTTTCCCAGTAAGCTTCTTCAGGTCTGCCCCTACCTCGTTTGCCCACTATTTTCCCTTTGATATTACGAGTTTTAAAGCACTTAAGTCGAGTAAAAAAATATCCCAGAAACTGCATTTGTCACTTCTTAATTATTCTTATTTGCGAGCGGGCCATTTGGGCTTCTTTTAGTACTTCCTCGATTAATTTTTCTTCTGTACATATAGTTCATTTAGTAGCCTTTGAGATGGTTCCAGTTTTCAGGATTGTTATATTTGTATTAAAGCTGTATTTAATTACTGCGAATTTTCATTTTATTTCCCCTGAACATTTATCATCGGGTGTAATGATAAAATATCCAAGAAAGATAGTTGGACTTAAATTTTTTTTTTAAAGCTTTTGGTTATGAGAGCTCTATTGATTTTTTAGGCAATATCATGCAATCTGTTTTCTTCCCGTTCAACAATAGCTGTTAGGTTCACCTTCTGTGACAACAGTATTTAAAAACAGTTGGAATTCCTTTTTGAAATCACTGCAATTATATTGCGGTCAAAAAGTCGTTGCGCAACTTGTCCTCAAATATCTCTTTTACGGGTGAATCAATGTCACACATACTTGGCACCGCAGTTTGTATCCATTTGTTTTAATTTAATCATGGCTTAACAATTGGGGCTGGATTAAAAAACCTTTCTTCATGAATTTATGTAAAATAATATAAATCTCCGTCACCCGGAAAATGGGATTGTTCAAAGCGCGTCCTGCTTCTCACACACATTTTGCATACTATGTCACAGCTCACCAATGACACTTTTTAAGTGGTAAAACTAGTTACAAGAGGTACATTTTTATAGTGAATACATTTTTTTTGCACTAAAGGTTCTCAAAACACGCATTTAATGAGCATAGTGTTGTGATTAGAAAAAGAAATGACAAACTTGCTTATAAAAGCGATATTGGCCCAGCTGTAAACTTTTTGTACGAATTTTCTGGAATACAGTGTACAGTTGTTTGAAAACAATTTTTTTTCCTGTTTTGACTAATTGATAAGTCATTGTGCAAAAGTTGGAAAATCTATTTTCAATAGTTTAGGAAAAAAATTTACAATAAGTTGCGCCTCTCATTGCTTCATTCACTTTAAGGCCTGGATTTCTTATGTGTATCTAAGGATTGTTTCACTATAAAGGTTAAAGAGGTCAGGTGACATACGTCACATCCCTGCCTCACTCCTCTCTTTATCCGCTTATATTCTCTGTACTCTCTCTCTCTAACTCTCTCCCTCTCTAACTCTCTCTCTCTCTCTCTCTCTCTCTCTCTCTCTCTCTCTCTCTCTAAAATTACAGCAGCTTTTTGGTCCCGATCCAAATATGAACTTGCCAAATAGCTGGTAAATAATAAGAACAAAGTAACGTTTCCCTCTACTTTTCCAAGGATCATTGTTGACACAAATATTCGGATAGAATCAGACATCAACGAACACCTCAATCAGAACGAATATTCCAACAAAAGACTTACCAGTAAGATGATCGGAAGAGCTGGTACCCTTGGGAATCCACGACCGGTAATTTCCACTGATGCAGGACACGGGTTTGTTGGAGGTGATGTAAGAACCGGTGAGATCAGAACTGGTGTCTACCCACTGGGTCACAAACCACGTCTGGTATCTAAATAAAGTAAGGGAAAATAAAATGAGGCTTACTATGATCAGTTCAGAAAAAAGACCAAATCAAATCAGATCTGACCAGAAGTAAACCAAATGTGATGAGATCTGATCACATTTGTTAAGATTAGACACAAACTGATTCAACGTAACAAGTTTACACCACATTGTATGAAACCTGATAAAACCTTACAACCTTATCAGATCCTATCAGAAAGAGCCACTGCTTACTTTTGACACAGTCAACGCAAAACATTTTGAATGAAAAACCTGCGAAGAGACAGTCCTTGGAAAAGTCTAGTTTGTCCATGTTGCAAAAAGTAATATCGAATTTGAAAACAATGTATCCAAAATGTAAAAAAAAAAAAGACTCGTGGGAGACTTTTTTCGTTTTGGATTTTGAAAATCTCAAAAAAAGCAACAACAACAAAAAGAAAATGTTCACATGATTCCATTTTGATTCCTCACCTATTGACAGTGAAACTGAAGCTCTGGCCGTTGCGATAGGTACTACCGCCGTAGCTGATGGACACCGCTGACACAGATTTTGCGCTGCCAGTTCTACTGTTGTCTGAGAGCTTGACGGTGACACTTGTGGAGTCGCTCACACCAATAAGGAGAATCTGGGCGTTGGAGCTGGCGAAAACCAGGTGTAAAGACTGTCAACTTAATTACTGTACGAATTTAAAATTAAACATACGGTCAGGTGACATATGCATAATGAAACGCAACGTTTCAGGGGACCAACAAGACAGTCATATTGACCTAATTAGATAGTGTTGATGGAGGCGTTAAAGATTTACAATCTAAGTCAATCCGTGTATGGATAGAGAATGTTGCTGTGGACGTTTTCACTCCCATTGTCACAATTCCCAGCATGCAGGATGGACGGACGTTTCAATCTTGTCTGTCTGAGCGAGTAAACCAACACCAGCTCAGTTAAATAAGAGATCCCAGCAGTTAGAAAGATTCGACTAAAAAAGTCCCTCGCTCACCACAAATCGAACTCACGTTTTCTGTGTACGACAGCAAAAAGCATGACGAAAACACCACAGGCACCGTTTTGTGTATCAAACAAATGAAGAGGTTGCATACAGGGAATATGAAAGAAAAGGATTTCATATATCATGTACAACTGGAATGCGTTTCTGTTGACCAGTGCTAAGCGTTTGTCCCGATACGAAAGGACAGTGGTCCACGGTCAGCTGGCCAATTAATAAGCTCTGGTTGTCTATTTATATTGCAAACTGACCACTATCAGCACTTTTTTCTCACCTCTTCACTCACTTCTTCACTCATTCATTCACTCTCTCACTCACTTACCGACTTATTCATTCACTCACTCATTCACTCACTCCCTCCCTCCCTCCCTCCCTCACTCACTCATTCACTCACTCACTCACTCACTCACTCACTCACTCACTCACTCACTCACTCATTCACTTACTCGTTCTCTTACTCATTAGCTCAGTTGCTCATCGATCTAGCTAAGCCGTCATGTTATAAATTATACCATCATTCTTTCACTCGCTCCGTCATTTACCTTACAGCATAGCCTGTAGTGCAATGGTTAGAGAGATCCCGTTGCACGCAGAAGATCTGGGTTCAATTTCCATGGGGGGGGGGGGGGGGGGTTATCGAGTACCTTGGTCTTTCTTCTTGGACGTGTTCTTCAACCTGCATTGATTCTTACAGGCGGGGTCGGCCCCCTTTAGGATCTAAATTGCGTCATTGGCGGGGTAAAACACATATCCTCGCCGTCCTGATAAGATGGGACAATAAGTGACGTCGGGTACATTTTTCAGGAGGAGAAAAAACTGATTTATCAAAAGGAGTTATCCAATTTTCATATTATTATAACAACAACAACAGCAATAATAATAATAATAATAATAATAATAATAATAATAATAATAATAATAATAATAATAGTGATAATAATAATAATAATAATAATAATAATAATAATAATAATAATAATAATAATAATAATTATTATTATTATAATAAAAATAAATAGCATTTATGTTGCGCATATCCCCGCTCGACAGCAAGTTCTAATTATGCGCTTAACACTGTATTATTATATTGTTGTTAAAAAGTCCACTTCTGATAGTTTATTTGAATATGAATTTTACCCAGCATAATATGAAACACATTTTGTAGAGTACGTTTCGCGAAAAAAAAGTAGAATCAAAAGTTCTGTAGTTATCCGATCTTATCACGATGGCGACGATATACCCCCCCCCCCCCCTGTTTTTTGTTAATCTCCGAGACAGACATGAGGGGTCATGGTTTGCTATTCATTTTTTCCCCGGATTCTCTTTAAAAAGTGTAACTATGGAATCAAGGAGAAATTAGAAACTTAAAAAAAATAATGAAATTGAAGAAAACAACATTTGTTCCGCTCCGCAGGCAATTTTCATCAATTTTTTTTATTTGCAAAACTTTTTTTTCTTTATTTACTTATTTATTTATTTATTTATTAATTATATTTTTCTTTTCTTTTAGGGGCGGGGTTGAGGGGGGTGCGACACCTTTTATATCCATTCAAAATCACATTTGTGAGTCCATTTTTACTGAAAACAAAACGTTGAACAAATACACAAAAATAATGTACATTTGCAGTTTCCAAGGAGACTTAAGATTTAGAAATCACAAAATTTGACGGTCATTTTCTCGATAGTAGTACTTCTGACCCCTACCTCTTTCAATCGCAAATATCTCAACTTCTATTCAAAACAGATAGGTATTTTTTCAGGAAAAGAAAAGAAAAAGAAATCATTGACAAGCTTAAAGGGGATATCAATAAATTCATATGCCCAAAAAACTGACGAGTGCCTGATTCCACCGTGTCGAGACACACAATACTTATCTTAAAAATACTTATCTTCAAATTGCTCGAATTGTAAAAATAAAAAGTGAGTCTGAGGTCCTTACATGTAGCACATGGCGTAGTACTCCTGGCCGACCACGTTCACGGGAAGAGCCACGTATGCGTCTGTTGTGTACTGTTCTTTGTTCACACAGTACACGGTGATGTCTTGAGTAGACAGGATTCTTACACCTTTGTTCTCCGGGCCGGTGCCCTCAGTTCTGAAACAGACCACAGACGGAAAGTATACGGACAGTTTTACAGAGGTTAATACATTCTCTAGGTAATATTTTCATTATTATCACTGCTTCTGGGGGGTATCTATATAATGGATCACTCATTCATTCATTCATTCGTTCTCTCATGTATGTATTCATCTATTCATCCCTTTATTTACATTTTCATCAATTAAACTGTTGGTCGGTTAATTTCTTGACAACATGTACCTGAGCTCATGCGGCACCAATAGCAGCTCCACTTCCATTCTGGCCACGTTCGCTGTGGCGCTCCAGCCTGAGTTCCATAAGGGGGTTGTGACTGTGACGTCAGCATTGGTGTTGGACATGGTGGTCACGAAGATCTCAAGGCCAACCTAGATCAGAGAGGGATTTAATTGTTCATCTCAGCAGGGGAAAGATCTAGAATTGTATACCCCTAACATCCCATCAACCTGAGTTTATGAATTTATTCCAACAATTATTGACTCTTAAAAAAAAAGAGGAAATAACCATGATCTCAACAGGCACAGGAAACTTGAGAAAAACTCTCTGCAAACTTCTGTTGGCCTGTTAAACTACTGTAGTTTGAAATATGGCGCGATCGTTGGGACTTTTAACGGTACGTCTATGCGAATGAATGCATCATGCTACAAAAATGGGGACCTAACTGAAAATGAGTTGTTTTTTTTACACGCTATGTAGAGCAAAACTATTCTATGGAATTATCTAATATGAATATCAGAAAAATTCCTTTTGACATCCAAATGTTGTGTATAAAGTTGAAACGCAAAACTTCAGTGGGAAGGAAAATATTTACAAAAATGTTGTATAGTTTTTTGAGCACCTTGTACTATAATGCGCTTGCAGGGAGGGATATATATATATATATATGTATATATATATA